AAGTAAGTAAGTAAGTAAGTAAGTAAGTTTTATTTATAAAGTGCCTTTCACAGAAATACTGTAAATTCACAAGGTGCTGTACAATCATTAACAGTGTAAAATTGGTGGAAAGAATAAAATGAAACAGAAAAACATAATTAAACATAAGCAACAAAAATTGAAACATCAAATCAAGAAAATAATTTCAAAAATTGGAAATCAAACATAAGGTCAATGCAGGTCAAAATATACAGTAATACACAAAAACATAATGAATGCGGGAGAGAAATATATGGCGTAAGTTAATAGTAAATAAAACACAGATTGTCGAACATTCACAATGGAGGTAGGCCTGCAGTAATGGTGAAATGGTTAGCTAAACGCTTGAGTGAAAAAGTGWGTTTTTAGGARKRWCTTGAAAGAGACAATGTTATTAATGGAGCACAGATTAAAAGGGAGTTCATTCCAGAGCCTGGGGGCCACAGAGGAGAAGGCATGGTCACCATGGGTCTTAAAGCGAGTGAGGGGATGTTGATCCTGTGAGCGGAGGTCTCGTCTGGGGTTGTAAGGTGAAATGAGACATTTAATGTATTCTGGGGCTTGGCCATAAAGAGCTCTGAAGGGGAGGACCAGGATTTTAAACCGGATTCTGAACTGAACCAGAAGCTAGTGAAGTTCTGCTAGGATCGGAGAGATGTGGGTCAATTTGGAGGTTTGAGTTAGGAGTCTTGCTGCCGAGTTTTGGACAAGCTAAAGGTGAGTTAACTGTTCTACAGGAAATGCCTTTAGTTGAACTGGAAAGGCTGCTTCTAATTGTTGCTGGTGCTATTTGTATTTGCAAATAAATTCAGTATAATTTTGTCATGTTTTTTTTAATTGGTGTCATTGTAGAAATTAATAAAATTACATTTGCAACTGATATGAAACTTTTCAACTGGAGTTGTTWTGTAAAAGCAGCAACCCACTTTAGTACGGGCTTGCTCAAAAAAACCTGTTAACTTGTCAATCTATCCATTAATCATTCCATACATTCGTTATCTTTACCTGCTTCTTCCTTTCAAGGTCACTGGTGCCTATATCCAATATAATGATACACACTGGACAGGTTGCACATCCATCACAGAGCCGCATAGAGACAAATGAGGCAAACAACTATTCACTCACACATAAGGACAATTTACAGTTACCAATTACCCTAACATTCGTGGCCGGGATTCTATCCAGCAACCTTCTTTTTGAGAGGCAACAACTCTACCAACTGAGTAACCATGCCACTCACTCGTCAATCCAGTTAGAATAAAATTACTTTAATCCAAACTGAAACAATCCAAAGAGATTTTTACATCATATAGGATGCTCAATGTTTATAAAACACATTTCAAAAGACCAGAATTATCACGGCAATTAGGGAYGCACGGATGCCACGCTTTTTCCAAATCAAAATAAAGTGCTTACATTTAAGTACAATACAAATGCGAATACAGGTCATTAAACTTCTCATAGTTACTTTAAAAATGTGTTTGAAAATCAGAGGAGATCTCTTTTTATTTTAACTCCTCAAATGCTGCAGGGCAGCAGTAGACTTTTTCAAAAGCCCTCGTTGTTGAGGGGTGAAATTATTCTCGTGCTCAGATTTTCTGCTCAACAACAGACTGTATTCCTGCTGCTGTTAGCAAACCTTTGAAACTCACTGTACTCATGTTTTTAGATATTTTATTAAATTTGCTTGTGTTCAAAATGCTAGATTTTTTCCCTCATCTTGCAAAAATTAATTTGCAATTTACTTTACTTTTGTCACCATTATTTAGATTTAAACTCCTCTACATTGCCTCTTYTTCTGGTCATGTTCATAGACAGTAAGTAACTTACAGTGCATCACTGCGACCATTGGAAGGATCAGGAGAGTCAATTCCTCCACATGACTAACATTGTTCCCCTTTTATACTGAAAGGTGAATGCCATGCTGCCATAAAACGGCACTGGTGCTGTGGTAGCAGACATTTTTAGGAGTATGAGTACACATACAGAGGGTATTGGTCTCATAACCAACATGTTAGAAATGTTTCTTAAAACCACAAAAATCTCTTTGTTCATCAGTGCCACACAGACCTGGTTTCAACTCCAGACGGGGTGAGCAGGAAGCAGCGCAGGCAGCTGTACGTGTAGCCTCCACCTCCACCTTCACCTTCAGAGTCACTCTCTGGAAGGGGTTTGATAATCTTCACGAACGATTCTGGGAAAATTCCGGTTTGATTGTTCACTGTACCCTGGAGGAAAAGAAAAGAGAGACACGAGGATGTGAGAAGTCTCAAAGGATGGAGTGGTGATGAGGGGTCGATGATGAGATGATTCAGACAAAGAAGTAGCACCAAGAAGCATCTAGAGAGATGTTTTGCAGAAAAATTATCAAGTTTATGATGGTGTTTGATCCACTCAACACAATTGTAGCATCATCTAGCATTTTTAGCCAGTKTACTGTATAATTTTAAGTATGTTAGTTTGCTGAATAAAATATGAATAAAACAAATAAAAATGTGCAAAGGCTTTTAGACATTTATCCAGGAATACTCTAACAATAACATGCAGACAATCATTTCGGGTTAAAATGAATACACAATACAGATGATAACATCCTGGATGTCCTGAAAAGATATGAATTTAACATCAGATTACAATAAATAGTATTTTATTTGTGAGTGTAGGACAAAAATGCTGCAAGCTCTAGCTCTGAAACATTGATTGTAGAGAACTAATACAAAATGTAACACTGTGTAATGGGGGAAATCAGCTGAATACTTCTTATATTATTTCTACAACTAAAAGTAGTGTCTTTGATCACTATTAAAACATTTTCAGGGGGAACAACTCATTTAAAAAGTACACTTGATATTGTTTTGAAGCAAAAAAATATATATATATATATATATAATTTTTATTTATTTAATTCTTGTGACTTTTTATGTATATGTGCAGCCAAGTCCAAGTAAGTTTATATTTGAATGGTTCTTGCTCTAAAGCCCTGTTTTTTTAAACTTTCTGTGAATACAAAATGTTCATGTTAATTTTTCTGTTTGTGATTGTTGTACTTCCATAAAATACTAAAAACAATGTGAAAGTATGACAGGGAGGGTAGGTTTTGGATGGGATCCACACTGATCTCCTCAAGGCTCTGGATGTTGTGGGGCTGTCTCGGTTGACACCCCTTTGCAAAATTATGTGGACATAGGGAGCAAAGACTAGGATGGCATTTGACTCTGTACCTCAAGGTACACTGTTGGGGTTTGGGGGTCTGTTAAGTCCTCATACAAGTGGTGTGAGAGTTTGTTACATTGCTGGCAGTCAGTCAGACCCGTTCAGGGTGGGAGTTTCAGAGTTTCTCTGTGCAGCCAGGGGATGGAGGGAGTCTGGTTCCATGGTCTCAGGATTCCATCCCTTCTATTTGCAGATCATGTGATCCCGTTGGCATCATTGTGTCATGATCTTCAGTTCTCACTGGAACAGTTTGCAGCCAAGCGTGATGAGGATCAGCACCTCCAAATCTTAGTCCATGGTCCTCAGTGCTGTTTATCTAGACCGATATGTAAATGCAAAGTGTAAAAAAGGCAGCAATGCGCCGACACCAGTCCCGTAGAACTGCAGGTAGTCTTTAATCAATCAGTAACCGACAGTGTTCTGACGTCGCGTTTTCAGGACAGCACAGTACGGTTGGAACCACAACAAAGAAGGTACTAAAAAGAGGTCTGGTTCCATGAATTCTGGATAATGGAAATGGATTGGAACCGTGCAGAGCCAAGTCGAACTGTGCTGTAGTGGAAAAGGGGCATATGCCTCTTGCCTTGGGGTGGACGGACGGAAGGATGGATGGATGGATGGATCGATGGATGGATGGACGGATGGATGGACGGATGGATGGATGGATGGACGGATGGATGGATGGATGGACGGATGGATGGATAGACGGATGGATGGATGGACGGATGGTTGGATGGATGGATGGATGGATGGATGGACGGATGGATGGATAGACGGATGGATGGATGGACGGATGGTTGGATGGATGGATGGATGGATGGATGGATGGATGGATGGGGAAAAGTGATTTATTCTGATCTTTTGAAGTCGTGTTGAATGGTTATGAGCACTTAACATCTTACCTGTTGTGGATAGCTTTTTAAAAACCTCAGCTTGGAGAGGTACAGTTACAGTTTGAGCGGACTGACAAGCTTATGTCTTGTTGGAGTGAAGCCAACACTAACAGGGATTGCCACTATCTTTTTATTAGGTGTTCAGAATACATGGTTTATTTATTTATTTATTTATTTGGTGTAATTTTCTCAGACTTGAAAAAGGTCCAAATTTCAAGCCGTTTGTTATTTTTCTCTACTTCAAATCCCCAAGTAGCATCAGCACAAAATCTAATTTCAGTTTCCTACTAACAGCTTTGGAAATAGTCTTATTTTATCTTCCAATAACATTTTTAATCGGGTGTTTCAATTGAATTTAGTTTTAAAACAACTACCTTGATGCACCAGGATGATAGTTAGATTTGTTGTGTTTTCCACTCACAGGTTCTCTGTCCTTAACATTAAAGGTGCCTGGTCAACTTTCAACAAGTTTTATGTTTTACATTAACCTCAACCACCCCTAACAAAATAACCTTTTAACCACTGTGCAATATAGCAATAACACAATATTGCATGAGGATTAATAGACTATTTAATGCTTTTTGGATCACTTTACAAAGCCTGGGGCAGGTTAAGTGTATCCTCCTGCTGCATGTTGATTCTCATTCTCTCCCACATCAGCTTCTATCTTCTTTCTTTCTCTCCCACACACTTTTTCCCAGAATCTCTCACACATTGCTTTAAAAATTTACACATTTTACAACTGAACAAAACATATTTCATAAGCATATATTACATATGCTGAGACAAAGCAGAATTTATTTCCTTTTCAAAGATTTGCCCAAAGTCATTATTTCAGTGTTGCTTTTATTTGAGACCCTAATTAAAATGTGTGATTTTGGACAGCATGTGCAGTGAGTAATCAGATCTGCTTTATCTTTTTTAATGTTATTTTTATCTTTTCTTTTTAATTGGAGTCAATTCCACAATTTTAGAATTTCCTTGGACTTAAAGGGGAGCATATTTATTCTTTTTTTGTAAAATGTATACTTTCTGTAAGTCAAGTTCTGCAGCACGACGGCTCAGTGGTTAGCATCGACGCCTCACAGCAAGAAGGTCCTAGGTTTGATTCCCAGTTTGGACCTGTGGTCTATCTGAATGGAGTTTGCACATTCTCCTCATGCTTGCGTGGGTTTTCTCCAGGTACTCCAGTTCTCCCCCCACCCCCCACCCCAAAAACATGTACAATGGATTGCCTTC